GCCGCAGGGCCGGCGGGCGCGGGGCGGGAAGGAGGCGCCGGAGGCGAAGAGGGGGAGGGGCGCCGGGAGAGGGAGGAGGCGCGGAGGGAGCGGAGGGAGGGGGGGAGCCTGCCTCACTCCCTTCCCCCCCCCCTCCTCTCCGCCTCGGGGAGGGAGGGAGGGAGGGAGCGAGTGGAGGCAGGGAGGGAATGGAGGGAGGGAGGAGTGGAGGGAGGGAGGGATGGAGGGAGGGAGGAATGGAGGGAGGGTGGGCTGGCCGGCGCGGGGCGGATGGCGCGTAAGGGAAGGGCGATGAATGGGGGGGGGCAGCGAGAGCTGCCACAAAAGATGCCCTTGGGGGCCCTGGAGGGCCCCCAGCGAGCCCCCTTCTCCCCCTCCATGCCATGTATCGACCCCCTCATTGATTCGCGCCCATTGAGGGGTGCTGGAGGGAAGGCGGCGAGGAGCGACGGAGAGGGAGGAATGCTCAGAGGAGGAGAGGGTTCCTGTACCGCTGCCCTTCGCCCGTTTTCCTCTCTTTGGGCCTCCCTGGAAGGAGGGATGGGGGGAGGGAGGAATGCTGAGAGGAGTATGAGGTGCTCATTCCGCTGCCCTTCGCCCGTTTTCCCGTCTTTGGGCCTCCTTGGAGGCTCTCGTCGCCACCGCTTGATTCGCTTCCAAATGTAGGTCAGAACGCACCCCGGGAGATGTCCGGGGAGTAGCGGTATTGGTACCGTGTAGTTCCCCCAGAAGCAGGAGAGAAGTGATGGGGGGAGAGGTTTGATGAGAGGAGGTGGGGGTGAGGAACAGTGGCGAGCAGGCGAGGGGGCAGAGGAGGAGAGGATGTCCGCGGGAAGGAGATTGACATGAGGCTGGGGTGGGAGCTTCAGTTGGGAAAAGGTTCCGAGAGACCGTTGGGACACCATGGGGACACCATCGGGGCACCATCGAAACACCATCGGGAGGAGCACCTGAAGGCATTGCAGGGGCAAACACCGTCGGGACAGCATGTGGACACCATCGGGATACCATCTGGACATCGCCATGAAATCTGTTGATCGATCTCATTATTGATCTCACCATCGGTCACTATCAATCAATCCAGCAGTCCATCTAAAAATTGATCTCAATATGTATATATATATATATATATCGATGCCATTACTGGTCGGTCTCGTGATCCATCGATCTCACTATCTGCTTATATATCGATCTCACGGGACAACCATCGGGGCACCATCGGAACACCATGGGGACACCATCTGGACACCATGTGGACAGCATCGGGGCACCATGGGGACACACGCCACCGCCTGCCAACCGGCGGGACACCCTTGAGCCACAGCCGGCCAACCGGGGGGAGAGCACCGTTGGGCCTGGATTCGCCCTAGCAACGGTGAGTTCATTCCGCTCGCCCGCCCACGCGGCTTCGCCTCGCCCACTCGCACGACACGAACACGAACACGAAACCGAAACAGATTTCCCAGCGGGGGTCCTTGTTTCACTTCAATATCACCCCCCATGTCCGTGATGCACAAGAGCCAAAACGACCACCCTTCTGGTGATAAGGAGGTTGTGGTGTGGGAGGTCAGCTTTCGGTGTGCGATTGGGGGCGGATTGATCGGATTCGGCGGAAACCAGCTGGGCACCACGGAACACCACCGATGGTGTTCCTATGGCGTCCTTCATATTCATCGGGAACCATTGGGGCAACCAACGGAAACAGGTGGCATTTGTTTTCCCGCGTCCTTGCTTCTTTTAGAGCGTACTACGAACATAGAGGGCAATCTGCTCGTCCATCTATTCATCGATCGGGGCATCCAACCGGGATCATCATTGCATCTTACATAACTAGGTGGTATGTATTTGCCCGCTCCCTTTTTTCTTCAGGACATACTAGTACATATCAATATGTGTGTCTCTCTGTCTACCGAACGGGACACTAATAAAAAACATCGGGCAACAGAGGAACCAGGGGGCATCTATTTGCCCGCGCCCTTTATCTCCAGGAGAACATATTCATGACACAAGACCGCAGGACACTGCGAAACACCACGGGGCACCATTATCGATCTCACGATCGATCTCTCTATCAATCGATCTCAAAATCGATCTTATCGATGGTCTACCTACAGCTGTCGATCTCACTATCTGTCGATCTCACGTTCGATCTTACTACGGATCCCACGATCGATCTCACTATCGACTTCTCCATAGATCTCACTATCGATGACAAGCTCCCCCTCTCTGTATATCTATATATATATATGCATCGATGTGGTTTTTGGTCTCACTACCGATGTCGCACTCGACCCCACCATCGATCTCGATCTCACTCCGATTTCGCACTCGAACTCACTACGAGACACCAAAGCATCGAGGCAACCAGCGGAACCAGGAGGCTTTTAGTTCCCCGCGGGCTCATTCCTTTAGAAGAACATGCGAAGAACATACAACACCACAGGACCCCACTATTCACAATCGATCTCATTATCGATCTCATTGTCTATCGATATCATCCCCTAGCCTCCGACCTATCGACCTCATTATGGGACTCACGGTCGACCCCGTGTACCTAGCAGTCTCTCTACAAATCGATCTCACAATCGAGATGCCACCCTGTGGCGCGCCAGATGGTCAAAAGCCCGATCTGTTGTGCGGTGATGGTGATGAAGGTAGGGGTGATGGTGATGGTGATCGTGTTGACATTGACTGTGAAGTCGTTGGCGCTAATTGATGTTGATGATGATGATGATGATGATGATGATGATGATGATGATGATGATGATGATGATGATGACCGATTTCGCGGTACCGCAGTCGACATAGTCAATGCGCTCTGCTCCGAAGCAGAACCTGCCTCCCGTCTATAGGAGCGGCAGCAGGGCCAGAGGCCGCTCACAGAGAGAGCCGTGGGGGGCGACAGTTGATGAGAGCTGCGACGGCGCACCATTGGAACACCGCGGGGACAAATAGTAGGTGCCACCAATTGGGACGCCACCGGGACATTATTGTGGCCCATCCGTCCACTATCTGTGATCTCACTATCGGCCTCACTACAGGTCCCGCTGGCGATCTCGCTATCGATCGCACTCTCGATTTACCGATCTCACTCTTGGCCGCATTGTCCATATCACTACCGGTTTCCGATATCGATCTCGCTATTTGTTTGTCGACCTCATTATCGGCCTGATTACGGACCTATGAGTCTCACGATCGACGCCACTAACTCACTATTGGTATCAGCACCTGATGATCGATCTCACCATCGGTCGCTCTATACCGCCATCAAAATCATTATCAATCGATCTCACGGTCCATCTCAAAATCGATTCCATTTTCTATTTAACGATCTCACTATTGATTGGTCTCAGTATCAATCGATCTCACAAATTATCTACCCATCTATCTCACAGGAGAACCATCGGCATCGGGGCACCATCGGGACACCATCGGGGCACCATCGGCACACCCTCGGGACACCATCGGAACACCGTGGAAACAACATCGGGACAACATGTGGACACCATGGCGGCATCGGGGCACCATCGGGACATTTCGGGACACCATCGGGACACCACCGGGGCACCATTGGAACACCATGTGGAAACCATCGGTTCACCATCGATCGGGACACCATCGGGACACCATCGAGATAACATCGGAACACCCTCAAGCAGCCGCAAGCCAACCGGTGGGACACCCCCGAGCCACCGCCGGTCAACTGGTTGGTGGGGGACAACATTTGGCCCGGCTTTGCCTTAGCGGCGGCGAGTGCATCCCTCTCGCCCGCCCACGCAGTTTCGCTTCGCTTCGCTTCGCTTCGCTTCGCCCACACGCACGGACGACATGAAAGCGAAACCAATTTCCTAGTGAAGGTTCTTGGTTTCGCTTTGATCTCCCCCCGTCCTCCGATATACACGTCCAACAGGGGAAGGGAGTGGTGGTCCAAAAGCTGGAACCTTGAATCTTCAATTTGGGTTCTGGTCCTTTTGGACTTCTCCCCAGCCTTTGGAAAAGGAAGAAAAACCGGGGCCCCCAGAGAGGCCAGGAATCCCGCAGAGGGCACGGGTACGCAACAAAGGACTCCATGGACAGGTTCGACACCTCCGAGACGGGTAAATACAGCTTCGAGTTGCTGCCAAGAGGCCCCCGAGGCGCAACATCATGGACCCCTTTGTTCGTGTCGTGTGGTCGAGGTGCCCTAATGACAGGACCCCCATGAAGGACCCCGAGAGGCAAAATCATGGACCCCCCCTCCCCCCCTCTTCGTCTCGTGTGCATCCCATGGCGTACTCGCCTCGTGTGGTCGCATGCGACATCGCATGGCGTGCGCGTTTCGTGTCGCCGAATGCGAGATCGCACGGCGCAGGTCTCGCATTGATGTTACAGCGGCAGGGCGCCCGAGTCGGCCCAACAGGCCGCCCAAGATTCTTTCGAGACAGTCCAAGAGGGCTTCAGGTGGACCCAAGGAGGCGCCCACGACAGTCCAAGAGGGCTCCGAGATGTCCCCAGGGGGGCCTCCAGGGGAGCTCAAGATGGCCAAAGAGGGCCCAGAGACGGCCCAAGTGGGGCTCCCCAGGAGCCTCCAAAAACAGCCCATTGGAGCTCAAGAAGGCCACACAGGGCTCCAAGGCAGCCCAAGAGCTCTCCAAGACTCTGGGGGTCTTTTGGGTCATCTGGTAGCAATCTTGGGGGTTCCTGGAGCTGCGTGGGACGCTCCAGAAGTCGAACAAGCGAGCGCGCGGTAATCTACCGACACCTATCCTATCGAGAATCAAGTGCGCCTGCTTGTAAGAGGCGTCAGCATGCGCCCCCCCCCCCACCCAATACAGCGTTTCGTGGCCCCATAGGGAGGCCCACCGCAGGTCCCAGTGCTACCGTCCGCATGCGTCCCCCGCACCCAGTACAGCGTTTCGTGGCCCCGCAGGGAGCCCCGCCGAAGGTCCCAGTGCTACCGTTCGCATGCGTCCCCCCCCCCTGTACAGCGCTTCGTGGCCTCATAGAGAGCCCCACCGAAG